CGCACTTCGATATTGTTTTGCGTTCTCGAGTTATTCGAAATTTATCAAGTTTGAAAAAAGTGTGCCTTATAGGTCCCGCTGGTACTTAAAGGGTTAACTATTAATCATTTTTATCACATGAATGAATTTAGTATAGTTATAGTTTTAATACTGACGTGCACACCGAAACCTCCTCTATGTAATAAAGAACGCTACATCTGAATATCTAATGGAATTCGCGAGTTATTTAAAAATTACAAAACTTGAAAAAACCGTATCGTATTTGGCACGGTGGGCCTGAAAGGGTTAAAACGTAGAGTTATAAAATAAACTTTGACAGGTCAACGATGATAAGCGTTAAAAACTAAAATAGATGTCGCACATTTCCGTGTGGTCTATGATATAGATTATGGCCATTGGTCACTTAGCATACTCATTCTGTTCTACTACATTTATCTGTTACATGATTGGTACACAATTCAATTGCTTAGAACTATTTTCAGCATTCTACTGAAAAACTCGAAAATAGTCTAAAATATGATATGATGACTTCCGAATATTGATCATGTTTATCCCATGAATGAGTTTATTATAGTCATAATTTGAATATAGGTGTATGCACTAAAGCCTTCTTTATATAATAGAGAAAACCGCTTCTTAATATCTTTTTGCATTCCCGAGTTATTTAAAAATTACGGAACGTGAAAAAACCGTACAATATTTTGTACGGTGGGCCGGAAAGGGTTAAAAAAAGACAATGAATATTTGTAAAACAAGTGAAATCAATATTGATTTTATCTTGAATTATTAGATTATGAATATAAGAAATAAATGCATTATCATTCTCATTTTTAGTATAATTATACTTTGAAATTGTAAGAGTAAGATGATTGAGAGATCGAAGAAGATTATTGAAACGCGTATTCAAATTGAAAAATCCTCGAAAGAGATCTCGAACATCAAAATATTGAAATAAAACGATAAGAATTTCATTGGGTAAGAATTCTAATTCAGGCGATTTGTTGTTCATAATTCTTACATGTATCTAGAAAAACAAACAAATAACAATTGTAACGAAATCAAGATGAAAATCTTTCATTAGTATTGATACGCATATTTTATTTAATGCAAACTTGCAAGCTGAAGAAATAGCGTTACCGTCACCCTCGATGTAGATGTTAACTACATTACTTCATCATTCGAATGGTGTCCATCTTAAATCGGACACAAACTCATATAGGAAAGAAAGAGAAAGAGAGAATAGCATATGTCAAAGAAGAAACAACAATACACCAGAGAATAAGAATGGCATCAGACGCAAATGAACAGGTAGGCATGATGATGCAGCGGCCACGATACTTACGAGCGGACAAAAGGTCAGATGCTGTGTCCGATGAGAACACTTCAATTCTTGACACAACAATATTTTATTTTAAAAATTAGCATACATGTATATTGATAAATCGATATTTACACCAATGCTTAATGATATAATCATTTAAAAAAAATATATAAAATATTCAATGTTTATGTTTGTATCTATTATTGATTCATTTTTATTATGTTCATTCGTGATAGATGACAAGACTTTAGGGTGTGGGTGGGTGTGGTATGATCTTTTCTTATGCCATACTCAGACCCACATCGACACACGCCACCCACACCCACACCCTTTTTTAACATTCTTTTAATATTATAATCACTCAAAGATATCTTTTGTTTTTTCAAAGAAACTCTATTTTAATCAAGAATATGAAAACTCATTGGATGTCTGCTTATTTAAAATTTCAATATAGCTTTATTGGATCAACAAATAATTATTGAAGAAAACGATATTTATCTTTGTGAAGTAATAATGAATAATCAAAGTGTTTCTTTTCTAATCAATGACATTTGTTTATTTTAGTTTGATAGAATCTCTGATAGATGATTGTCGCACATATGCTCAAAAAGCAACTTGAATCACGATGGGATTTATCATGAAAAATTATATGAAATCGATCAATTATTTGATAAACTTAATGAAGGTTTAGAAGTTTACATACAATGACAATTGATGATAATAACAAAATAAAAAAGCTTTAAGAATACAACATTTTTGTCATCCATAACAGAGACCGTCACAGAGCACTTTTTTCGCCCTGACTGTCCAGCAGAGCAAGCAGGGTATGACGAAAGAAGCTTGATTTGCCGTGTGCCGATCTCTAACCAATAGTTCATTTTATAATTTTTGTGTTTTTCTTCAATTTTCTTAAAATTTAAAAAAAAGAACTTATTAAGAAGATGTAGAAATATTTTTTTTAAAACTTAAAACTTTTATTAAAACAAGATGAAAGATTCAATCTTTCATTGAATCAGACTTGATAAACAGTAGTTGTTTGACGCTTATTAAAATTTATCGCTATGGTGTTTTGTGAAAAAAACCTTTTGGTCACCGTCGCCTACGAGTATTCATCAAATATCTATTTTCAGGTGTATAATAAGGTATTATTTTTCCAAGTGCAAGTCTCATTCCATCAATTAATCGACACCAATTTGATGTTAATGTACCCACATGTAAATCTGCATTAGCTTCAATGAATAAATCAGTAAGAAATTCTAATACAATCTTTCCACGTTGTTGCTTTGTCATACGGTTGAATGATGCAAAAATAACATTTCTTGTTGCTTTTACACATAATAATTTATAATAACCTTGTTTTTGTTTGTTTATTTGAATAAATTCATTAAATACTTGCTCATCTTCAGAATTTATATAAACTCTTGTTATATTCGCTTGTGCATCAAAATCAAATAAATCAAAATATTGTTTAAGTGTATACGCTTGACACATTTCTTTATATTTAACTTTATCTGATCGACGTACATAGACAGCAATATATGGATGATGAAGATCAATTAAAGGTGGTTGAAAATATTGAGCAATAGTATTTTGAACATGAGTTAATGTTTCAGATTTATATCGCATTAGATAAAATAATAACTGTGCATGATACCAATTAAAAGTTCGATTTTCGAATATAGGTGGATGAATAGGCTTAGGCCATTCACCCATATGAGCACTAATATTTATTGTTTGGTTACTATGAGGTCTAGATGGAATTGAACAATTAGTGATGGGAAGAAAAACACAATCGGGAGTGCCTGCATTACAGTCTCCATAAAACTAAAATAAAATCAGTTATTAAAAATATTTTTTCTTCAAACAAAGAACTCGTTTTTTTTTGAACTATAGCTTAATAAAAACTTGGTGGGAATGTGCTATATACTAGCGAAAACTAAACTTGAAGATTCGAATAATCTCAAAAAATCGTTATATAATGTAACCAAAAAGATAAACTAATGTCAAGATTGATTTCAATAGTATCAATTTGTCTCACCCAATATCCTGGTGTTTCGTATACAGCAATTCTATTCTCCGCTAGAGCCATACCAAATGCCCATGCGATTTGATGAATAGTTGATCCAAAACCCGACCAAGCAAAATTTTGAATAATAGCAAATTTTCTATTTATACAATTCTATGAAACAGATATAAAACAACGTACATGAGATCAATTGATCCAAAACATCATTACGATGCAATTGGAGACGATTGATTAGTCCTCGTACTTATACCACTAATAGAGTATAGTGCTTTTTCTGCCGAAACTATTTTCCATTTTGACTGATCAAATGAAAACCACTATTACTCTGGACGATGTCAAGGTATCGACATTGGGTGATATGTTCGTTCAATGCGCTCGTATTCACGATCAATCATCGTCTCATATCAAAGCTATCGTAACTTACCGGAGAGCTTTTGTCTCGTATGCCTCTATGACAAAAAGTATTGACGACAAGTTAAAAAAAACAATTTGATTATTAGGATGAATAGAATACGTAACATTTTCGTATGTTATGAACTCTAGCTACAAGTAATTGTTGAAGCTTACGCGGAACTGATGTTGCCCAAAGATGCAATCCAAAGGCGTTTGAAATTGGCAGCAATGTATCGAGATAATGAAATCGATGATGTCAAAGATGAATATGGTGACCATGACACCAGTAATAAATCACGTATCAAATCTCTACGATACTACACTGAACTGCTAACAACAAACAATGATTATGAAATCATCAAACGAATAAGATTCGTTTTCATTCGATTTCACTATAGTGAACAAAATTTCTGATCACATCAAGTCGATTGCGTCTCACAATTTTTCTAAATAAAAACACGCTCTATTCCAAATGGGAACAAAATATGATATACAAGATACATGTTCGTGAGCGTTCGCTATTTTCGCAAATATTTCTCATATTTGAGATCTGATTTCTAAACTAATTCTATCGGCTATTAGGACCAACTGTCACTAACTGCATATAAATTTCATAAATTCGCTTCGTGTGTTTCTAGTTGTATATTTTAGCAAATGAACAATGCATAGCTCTCATCAGAATTACGCCTCATGAGCTATAAAATAATCTCTTTCTCGTTCTATTCAAAGTAGTTAGATGGCTGTAGACATTAGGAACATTTTACTTCCATAAACCAGGATCAAAATAGCGCTATTTCGTTTTATTCTTTCAAGCAAGAATTTTCTAAGCAGTATGATTATCAACTGTATGATCAATTATCATTACTATGAGACAATACAACGATTGTATTATATTAAAAAAAGAGTGCGATAAAAAATAAAAGTATTTGAAAGAGTCACTACTTTTTCGGAATGCAGTACGAAATGAAAATCTATCTAGTTTGATTAAAGTTATTTCAATCTATTGAATATGACAAATAATTTGCGGTCCATCGTCATCTTCATCACCAGCCTGTTTAACTCTGACACCAGCAACAGTCGTTGATCCTTCTAGAAATTCTGATGGGAATTGCTTTCGAATGAATTCTGTTGCTGGTTTGTGGAATTGTTCATAGAAGTTGATGTAAACTTGATTCTTTTTTTCAATAGATAAGCGAACATAGTCAGGATTGTTCTTGATAACAATGGATTCGAAACCCTCAACATAAAATTCCAGAGTCTTTTCAATCTCGATTGCTGCCGGTCGATGTTTTGGATCATTGGCTGTACATCGAGTGATGAGATCTTGAAAGATTGGACTCTCTTCTTGAAAGAGAATTTTTTCTTGAGCAAGCATTCGAAAATTGTGCTGTTTTTCAGTAAAGAGTTCATTCAAAGTTAGGCCAAACATGAAAATATCCAGTTTTTGATCATATGTATCACTGTAAAATTCTGGTGGCAAGTAAGATTGACAGCCGACACGCGTATGCTGATTCAATGGGTCAGCAACGCGTGCAATACCCATATCACCAATCTTGCATGTGTATTGTTGATTAACCAAAATATTATCTGGTCGAATGTCTCGATGAATCATGTGATGATCATGAATTTTTCGCATCGCACTAGCAATCTGTTTGGCCATATTCACTTTTTGCTGTAGACATAGTTTGGTTTTACTCTTGATTACACTTGTTAAACTACCGCGTGACATATATTCCATGATGATCATGTAAACTGTTTTGTTTCCCTGTCGACCCCCAGCATATCCATACGTTTTGAGAATGTAACCACCAGATAATTCTATGTAAGCAGACACTTCCTTGGCAAAACTTTTCTCTAGAGAATTAGGCTCTTTGCTATCAGGCACGACAATTATTTTACAGGCTACTGGACGATTTTTTGATATCCATCGAGCCTTATGAACAGCACCTTGAAAGCAATCAATCGTTCAACAGATTGAAAATATAGAAACACTTACCAAAATTACCACTGCCCAATTTTTCACCCAGTTCAATATCATTTATAGATATCTGTACGATCACTCGACGAGAATTAAGAATCAATGGATGTGTCAATTTGTGATCATTAGTTGTGACACCTGTAGTAGCACATTTTAAACACAAATCATAGTCTGGACACGAATCACATTTGAAACGTAATCCAACAAAGTCTGAAACTTTGCATCCGTCACAGATAACCGATTTGTTTACTTCTTTGACATAGAATTCTTTTAGTTTCTCGATGGTTACATCATCATTTGATACAGTTCGACCAAAGAGTTCGTTTGGTAAACGGAAATGGACAAGTAAATGTCCACTCTTATGTTTTTTGGGTTCGGCACGACGTTCAAAACATCCAGCACATAGATTGAAATTATCACATTGCAAACATTTGTAACGATCATCGCGTATAGGATTATCTCCGCATTCCTCACATGTGACATTGTGCAATTCTTGTCCATCGTCTTCACCACCCCTTTTTGTTCCTTGAACAAGTTGTGTTAGGATTTGTTGCATTAGAGCCGTTTGAGCTTCATCAGAATGCTTACCAGAGCTTCTATCTGAAATCGATCGGTATAGATGCGGCATTATTCTTTGGAAATAGTTCTCAAAAGAAAAGTTTTCTCCTACCTGATTTACGTCCAGGTGTCTGTGAAACAGCATTATGAAAGATTTTCTTGTCACCAGTCGTTGTTGATGGAGGGCCTGATAAAAATGAAAATAGTTATTTCATCAAATCAACGCCACATATTAATTTACTCTTGTTTTCTTTTGCACCTCTGGTAGCCGAATGTTCGGAAGTCGCGCTTTTAAGAAATTGTTCACACTCATTTTTCGTCCCTACAGAAAATCTCATATAGACAATTCTGATTTGCAAATAATGTTGCTGTACCAGTAGCAATCACTGTCCCCCGACGAGTTTTGCCATTGATCTTAACTGGATACACTTGACTTACATGAACGGTATCAGATGGGTCTTGCACACATTGCTGAGAAACAACTTCCAAGACATCATCAGTCCCCAAACGAAACACACAGTATTGTTCCTCACTATGTTTGTTTTTTCCTTCAATTAAAAAAAGTTATGTGATTCGATCAAGAGTTCAGTTCTAGTATCACGTACCAGACATGGTATTCAAGAATTCTGTTTAAAGGGTTGGATCAGTAGTTATCTTTGTTTAAACGCACTTCCTTTCTATTTCGAACTTTTTATTGTCTCACCTACAATAAGAAAAAAAAAGTAACATTGTAAAAACAGGCACACATAAACATGTTTGCATGTTGGTTTTTTCCACTATGCGTCATTATATTCATCAAATATTTGCATTGCAATTGCAAGCACTTCTTTTACTTTTTCTTTTCTTATTTTATTGGACAGGCACAATGATGATGCAAAAAGAAAAATATACGACCGATGAATTTTCATCAACAGAATGGTTTTAAGGGTGTGAATATGGATGGGATTGATGACGATGCTTCCCTTGTACACAAACACTACATATACCCACACCCTCAACTTATGTCCTAATGAGAGAAGCAGTTTTTTTTTGTGGAAAATATAATTAATTTAGTCAACAAGAATGTCATATAGATTTGTGGATAGAATAAAATAGGTATGCTTTATTCAAAACAATCATAAAAGTCATATTCATCAGTATATTACGTTTTGAGTTTGATACAATAGTTTTCAAGCCTTTGTTGAAGTCATTCATCGTTTTCATTTATTTGTTTTCATAAGACATTCATTCATTTAAATGCGTCAAAAAAGGAGCTAGAAGGAAACAAGTGAAAAAGAAGATATTTTATGATTCCCACTTTTTCTCGCCATGCAATATAGTATAAGTGAAATATGCATTTCAAAATAATTCGCAATTGGATGATTATATAGAAGTTATGTTTGATCAAGTTGAAAATTACCTGTTTTTATTATTTATTTATTTTCAATCTACATGTTTAAGTTCATACGCACTATTTATTAGTTTTGGGGACTTCGAGTATCTCTTAGATACAACTCGTGCATCATGAATAACCGAATAATTGATTAAAACTCTCTTTCGTTTGATTTACTTTCTATACATATAATGATCTCTAAAAAAAAAGATGATAGACTTGATTTTAGAAGTGTAAAATATAATTGAACAAAAGCATTGTGAAAGGTGTTCATCACTCAAACGATGTTGATTCATTTTATCCATGGAAATGTGAACATCGAATTCCATAACAAAGTTAAACAAGTCCTAGTTCTGACTATACATTTCCTGTCGTGTGTTTGATGAAATAAAAAAGGAAAGCATGAACTTAGTGAAGTATGAAATATGTGGACACATTTCTTTCTAGAACCATTTAATAGTCGAGCGACAACGAATTTCATCCAAGGTGTGCATCTTTTCGTTATAATTGAGCCAATATTCGAACAGTACTTTTGTTTGCGCTTTTGTCTGTATTGTGATTTGCAGTGCGGCTATTATCAGAAAGTTTTCTTATACGTAAAAGTCAGTGAAATACTCGAATCAAATCCTCCTTTGAATATTTCATTTTTTTATGCTATATTTTGTCGTCTTCAACAGGAAGTCCTAGAATATGCCATGAACTTAGTATTTGAACTGAGTCCTATTCGGATTAATTCAATTTTTATATGACCTATTGTCGTTCGTAAATAAAGATGTGTACTTTTTAGGCAACTCAATCTTTGAATCAAATATTGAGTCGGGTTATTCAGTGTTTGTCTGATCATCAATTCTTTCATCATTGGAAGAATTTTTCTATCTACCAATAAGATAGTTAAAAAACACCTTAAGTTGTTATTATTTATTCGCATCTGACTTAATTTTATTGCATTTCATAAATTATCTATCGTCAATTCAAAAATACAAATATGACTGAATCAAAAATAAATAGGTTTAAAGGCTTTGTGTTTCTTACAATTCAATCTTCTGTGTGTAGATTGACAAAGTTACTTTGAAGTGAGCGAAGTATTTGATTGGTACATTATAAAAAAGACTAGGTAACTTATAATGGCAAGCATCAACCTTATAATAATGACGAATAGTCGTTTCATTCTGGGCATCAACAGTTACATATAGACGATACGATCTCCACGAATTTCTACTCGAAATATAGATCGTCTATGAACATTTATTTTACTTCGTTTTCATTTGCTACTAAAGTTTCTATTTTGATTTGATATATTCGTCTCCTCTTATGTGTCTCCAAATTTATCTTAATAAATATTAATTGATAAGGGCAACAGTGAACGACCTGCAGTTTTCACCTATCGAAAGAGAAGAAATCGGGATATCTTTTTTTTCCTCGTTAATTTATAAGACGAAATCCTTTTAAAACTAATCATTTTCAAAAAGCATGCAAACAAATGCATGAAAAGGATCTACCATCAAAATGAAATTTTGGTTTGGGTCTTCGATTTGGATAGAAGGACTTCAAATCTATCGTTCAAGATAGAAGTTGTTATGATAACAAGTGCAAGAAATTAGTAAAAAATTAGCAACACTCTCTATCACCTGCATATGTAAATTCTTGAATCTATCTGTTCAATGTTAGACTTGAGTAAGAGAACCATTTGTGTTTTATCTTGAACTAGAGATCTGAACTCCCTCTATCGAAATTGAAGGTCAATATCAAAATTTCATCTAGTTGGTAGGTCATTCCAATGCATTCTTTAGCATGATTTTCGAAAATGATTAGTTTTAAAAGGATTTCGTCTTATATATTATGGGGAAAAAAGATATCCTGACTTCTCCTCTTTCCATTGATGAAAATCGCAGATCGTTAATAAAGATCTCCAAACTGGACCCGATTTCGGTTCCGTCAGAACTGGAACTAGTAGCGGGACTAAACCTTTTTCAAGCTGGTCCCCACCAGTCTTTATAAAAAGTATATAATATACTCTTATATTAATTTTTTGATCTGATTATAGACGTTTAATCAACTATTTTTAGTTGCTATTGCTATAAGAGTCTTTACTGATTACGAATCTATTTCCAAGAATTGGAATTTCCCACTTGTATAGGTTTTTGAATATATATGAAGACAAAAAAACACTATATAAATAAATTTTATTCATTCACCGTTAGTTCATATCTTTATTTATTAACTTAACAAACGACAAATAGATATATGTCGGCGTTATTTCTTTTCCTCAGTGGTAATTGCTCTTTAGAGTCTAGAGCGAGTTGAACTTTTCAAGTCTGACTCGATCCGACAGATTTTAACTCAAAACCGACCACGGTTCGGACTGGGTGGTAGAACTCTATCGCACTTCAAGATAAATAATCATTTCGACACTACTTTTATGAGCAAACATGGGATCATCGATCGCAAACAATAATAACCAAAGTTCAAAAGATGATTAAAAATAAAAGTTCAGCTATTGCATTTGTGAAGTGTGCTTCTGAGATTCCTTGTAAAAAATAACTTGCAATCCTTTAGATCTGAATTTTGCCGTATTAAATTGATCCTCAGAGTAACACTTTGTTAAGGATGCTCGTGTTGACTTTGTATTCTTTCAAGAACTACTAGTTTTAAGAAATTTTTTTGAGTCACATGATTGGAATCAGAAAATTGACTGGAAAAATGTGTGCCGTATATCTGTTAAATTGAGAGTATATCATTCCGAAGGTATTGATTTTATGAACTACAGATCACCAATATTTATGAAAAAAAAAGTAACGCATACTACAAAAAATTCGTTGAAACTCGAAAAGGTTCGATTTTATCTAATCAATCATACGTTGAATGATGTCTCATGTATTTCGACATGCAACTCTGACTTAGTTTTATGTTGAAAACGCGATCACTACAAGTAGATTGAATGCCAAGGAGATGTGTTTGGAAGGAAATGTTAAAGATAGATTTTTCTTCTACAGAGCGCTTTCTAAAACGTTTATTTCTTGAGGTATAAAAACTGAAATAGAGGATTCTTTATTGCACCTCGACAGAGAACACTTCATTACCTATATATCAATGAAAAACAAAAAAGAAGTAGAGAAATAAATTTTCTTATGTCCTCAAAAACGAATGGACTTGGAGTTGGATGTGAATACTGCTGTTATTCACACTCACGCCGACATTCACATATCCACGCAGCTCCTATTCCAGGGTTGATTGATATACACTCGCTGTTGAGTTATGTCAATATAGACATTTATTTTTCGTACAAATGCTCCATTGTAAAATAATTGTAATCTTTGCATTTCAATGAACTTTCAATTTTTTTAACCAAGTTTTCATATATGGTGAACTTTGGATCAGGATGTGAGTGTCCTGCTGATGAAGAGAATATCTACGCTCACATACATAGCCACCCAGAAGTACTGCAATCAAGCAAATGGAAATGTCATCAATTCGAACAGTAGAGAATTGTTGAACAAGAGCGTGGGCATAACTACTAGGTTTTTCTCCGAGCACAACCACATATATTTCACACACACCAGTTCTAACCTAGGTCCAAACTTCGAGATATTTCTGGTGAGTATGAAACCTACATATGAGCAAAATTT